AGCTCAGAACCAGACATGCAGCTCAAATGATCTGAATTCGTTGAGGACTTTCGTCGAGCACCTTGAGTCCTCCATCGATGGATGGGATCTCGATTCATCAAATTGCTGTGGTTGGCCGGGAATCACCTGCGGTTTCCTCTCATCGTCTCTCAACTCCACCGCCGTAGTAGTTACGCTCCACCTGACTCGCCAAAGGCTTACTGGTAATTTATCTGAATCCTTGGGCAATTTGGGTCATCTCAGAACCCTAAATCTCTCCCACAACAATCTTCGAGGCTCAATTCCCCAATCGCTTATGAGCTTGCCCAATTTGGAGACCCTGGATTTGAGCTACAATGACCTCTCAGGCTCTTTCCCAGGTAACATAAACTTGCCCTCCATCACAGCTCTCAATGTCTCCGAGAATGAGATCACCGGCCGCGTTCCAGTTGAGATTTGCATAAACTCAACCGCCATTAGAGCTCTAAGTGCGGAAGACAACTTTTTTAGTGGATTTCTTCCGGTGGGATTCGGTAACTGTTCGTCACTGGAGGAACTTAACCTCGCCTCCAACTCTCTCTCTGGAGCCATTCCCGACGATCTTTTTCGCCTCTTCAATCTGCAAAGGCTGGATCTCCGGGAAAATCACTTCTCCGGTCGCCTGAGCGGCCTCATGGGTAACCTCTCCAGCCTCGTCCACGTCGATTTATCCTCAAACAGCCTGTCGGGGAACATTCCGGACATTTTTGATAGATTGATGCAGTTGCAATATTTCTCGGCACAGTCGAATAATTTCGGTGGGGTAATACCAACCACACTGTCAAATTCGCCGACCGTCGTGTCCATTAATTTACGGAACAACTCCTTGAGCGGCACAATCGATCTCAATTGCTCGGCGCTGGTAAATCTGGTGTCGATCGATCTCGCCTCCAACCAGTTTCACGGCAGTATTCCGGAAAATCTCCCCAACTGCACACGATTGAGGGTCATTAATTTTGCTCGGATTACTTTTTCTGGGCAAGTCCCCGAGAGTTTTGTGAACTTCCAGAGCCTCTCCTATATGTCCCTCTCGAACTCGAGCCTCCCCAACCTCGGTCGGACACTTGAGATTTTGCAGCATTGTAAGAACCTGTCGACTCTGGTCTTGACCTTGAACTTTCGAGATGAGATGATGCCGAATAATGTGAGCCTCGATTTTTCCGGGCTGAGGACACTTGTGATTGCTAACTGTAGGCTCACAGGCCGTGTTCCCCAGTGGCTGAGTGGGTCCAAGAACCTGCAGCTCCTGGATTTGTCTTGGAACCGTCTTGAAGGTTCCATCCCATCCTGGTTTGGAAATATGTGGTCTCTTTTTTATTTGGATTTATCTAATAATTCTTTGACGGGCTATATCCCGTTGGAGATCACACAGATGCAGAGCCTCATCAGCGGCAACATCTCCATCTCCATGGATGAGTCCTTACCCAATTTCCCATTATTCGTTAGGAGGAACCAAACGAGGCTCAAGTACAGGCGGGTTGTGAGTTTTCCCCCGACATTGGAACTGGGCAACAATTTCTTGACGGGGCCTGTGTGGCCTGAATTTGGGAATCTGAGGGAGCTGCACGTTCTGGACCTGAAGCGGAATAACTTGTCGGGGCCCATTCCGAGTAGCCTGTCCCAGATGACGAGCCTCGAGACTCTCGATCTGTCATTCAACAATCTTAACGGGACAATACCGTCCTCCCTTACGGCCCTAACCTTTCTCTCCAGTTTCGACGTGGCCCACAATAGTCTGTCTGGGCCCATCCCGACCGACGGTCAGTTCGCTACGTTCCCAAAGTCAAGCTTCGAGGGTAATGACGGTCTGTGTGGGGACCACGGGGCCCGTCCTTGTCCACACGAATTTACCCCTCGTGTGTCGATTGTCCGATCACGGAGGAGAGATGACACTATTGTTGGAATGGGTGTTGGAATTGGTGTGGGGAGTGTTATTCTTTTCGCGCTTGTCTTTGTCATCTTTCGGTTATCGTGCCGGAGAACTTTTGTCAGACAAGAAAACGTGGACGATTTTGCAGTCGAGAAGGATGTTGACCAAGTTTCTAGCCTGGTGATCCTTTGTCCAATCAGGGATGATGATGATAAAGGCACGATCCATCTTGACGACCTCTTGAAGGCCACCGACGACTTTGACCAGTCAAACATCATCGGATGCGGAGGTTTCGGGCTTGTGTACCGTGCCGTGCTGTCTGACGGGCGGAAGGTGGCGATCAAACGCCTCTCGGGCGACAATTTCCAGATGGAGCGGGAATTCCGGGCCGAGGTTGAAACTCTATCGCGGGCCCAGCACCCGAATCTTGTGCCCCTCCAGGGCTACTGCAAACACAGGGGCGACTGTCTCCTTATTTACTCATATATGGAAAACGGAAGTCTCGATTATTGGTTGCATGAGAAGCCTGACGGTCCCGCCTCGCTCGACTGGGGGAAAAGGCTCCGGATAGCATGTGGAGCCGCTCGGGGGCTCGCGTACCTGCACCAATCATGCGAGCCACGCATCCTGCACCGTGACATAAAGTCTAGCAACATTTTGCTGGACGGGATGTTTGAGGCCCGTTTGGCTGATTTTGGGCTTGCCAGGCTCATTCTCCCATACGACACTCACGTCACGACTGACCTTGTGGGGACGTTGGGTTACATTCCTCCAGAGTACAGTCAGGCCTCAGTCGCGAGTTACAAAGGGGACGTGTATAGTTTTGGGGTTGTGCTTTTGGAGCTTTTGACGGGCAAGAGGCCAGTGGACGTGTGTGGACCCAGATGTAACCGAGATTTGGTGGCATGGGTGGGCGAGATGAAAACACAGAAAAGGGTTGGGGAGGTTTTTGACCCATTGGTTTATGACAAACGACATGCACATGAGATGGTTAGCGTGTTTGAGATTGCGTGCGTTTGTTTAAATAAAAATCCGAGGACGAGGCCTTGTACGGGCAAGTTAGTTTTGTGGCTCGATAGCATTGGTTCAACCTCCGAGTTCCGACCCAAAGATGAGTTGTTTTCATGAAGCCCCAGTGAGTTTGATTGATGTGTGGTCTCTCATTTGCTGAGTAGTTTGTATTATGTATATGGGGTGTGTATACTGGTTATATATATGCTGTACATACTCCTCTAGGTTACTTTAACAATGGAGATAAAATGTTTTACCTTGTATCATGCTTTTTCATGAGACATAAAGGTGGTGTTAGTTTTTCAAGTTGTGTGCTGATAAATACTCGCTACTCTTATGGTGTGTTTGGTTTATTGGAGGGGAAGAGAGGGGAGGGATTTAGGGAAAGGGGGGAGAGGAGAGTTAATGTAAAATAATTTTAGTTTGTTTGGAGGGATTATTTAAGAAGGGAAGGGAGGAAAATGTTAAACTTTATTTGGTTAAAAAACTAAAGGAAGGAAAAATAAAATTAAAATGACAAACTTACCCTTAATGAAGTAAGATAAAAAAAAATTAAAAACAATTGAAAGTAGGGACTAAATTGTCATTTCACATCATCATAAAACACTTCCCCTCCAAATCCCTTAAATTTTGGAGGGGAGAAAAAATGAGGGAGGGGAGGAAAATTTACTAAAAACGAGTAGATATTCAGTGCACATGCACATATGTACATAAAATATTAGTAAGTAAGATTTGAGAATTTAATATTAAAATTTTAGATAATAAATTAACGATTGTATTATTATTAACAATTATTTATTATCAATAGATATTAATAGTTTGATAATTATATTATCATCATTATTATTATTACTATTATTATTATTATTATTATTATTAAAAAATAATTGTTTATAAGCTTCTAAAGTTGTTTGACTATGCTATTAAAATAATTTATTAATTATTTTTAAAGAAATTTTTTCATGAGATACAAAAGAAAAAGATAATATTGATGTTAGTATAAATAACTTGAACATTTGTTTATAATTATGTAATTTATATTTATTGTGAATCATTATTAGTTGGTATTAGCAATAATTATTATATAATATAATAGAAAAATACATGATTACACTTAATAGGATGTGTTAATGTGAGAAGTAAAAAAATAGTAATGATAAATTTTGTAACTGAAAATAGAGGGAAAATATTTTTAGGTTTTATTAAATAGGTAAAATTAGATAGCAATTATATATATATGTATATATATATATATATATATATATATTGTTAAAAAACAATTGTTTATAAAATTTAAAGTTGTTTAACTATGTTATTATGACAATCTATTAATTATTTTTAAAGAAATATTTTTATGAGATACAAAAGAAAAATATAATATTGATGGTGAAATACATAACTTGAAACAATTGTTTATAATTATGTAATTTATATTTATTGTGAATTATTATTAGTTAGTATTAGCAATAACTATTATATAATATAATAGAAACATACATGATAACACTCATTAAGATGTATTAATGTGAGAAGTAAAAAATATTAATGACAAATTTTGTAACCGAAAATGGAGGGAAAATTTTAGAGGTTTTATTAAATGTTTTATTAAATGCTACATGCCAGCAATTATATATATATAGATTTTCCTCTCATTACCCTCCTAATTTTGCAACCAAACAAGTGAAAAGTAAAATTCTCCCTCCTCTCCCCTCCAAATCCCTCTAACCGAACACTATCTTAGTTTCAGTGTTTTATTCAAGTTTGTGCGGTTTCGCTATCAAACTAACAGTTGGCTCCATAGTTCGTGCGCTAATAAATAATAGCACTCTGACTTTCACTAGAGTTTTATTCATAGTGCAAGCGAATGACACGTGTATTAAATACACTTGAATATGTTTCAGTATTGATAACTTCATATAAGAGTTTCGGTTATGAAAAACTGTCATTCTATGCTCCATGTCAAAACTGGTATATAGAAATAGTACACTGGCACATGTTTTAATTTAAATACACTGCTAGCTGCAGATAAGAGTTTCATAAGATGATAGTTAATGCTTGGATTCTTAGTTATAATTGACTTAAGACTACATTGATGTTGGTGACTATAATGGTTTATATAAATCAACCCAAAAAAAACCACTCTTGGCAATGTTTAAAATTGGGTGCCAGTGATGTGTAACTGGACACAATGTTTAAAAATTGGGTACAAAATGTGTGCAACTAAATATATGTGAGGGGTTCAATTTTTATTTTTTTTTTTTTTCATAACAGTAAGAGGTTTTATTAAAACAATAATTTGTTTAGAAATATGTTGGATCGTATAAAAAGCTACACCAATTGACACTGATGTGCAATTATTCCATAAATCGCTCTTCCAGTGACGTCGAACTGATTTAACCACCAGAGTATCCTGCAAAACGCGCCGAGAGTTTTCCTGATGGTAGACCTCCGATAATCAAGTCAATTCTAAGATGATCTAGATCATTGCTAAAAAAACCTCTATGTCACTAATAAAGAGTGTCATGCCTAGGTCCTTGATCTACTACTTGTAGGTCTTCCACATATATTATCAATATGTGGTACAGAAATATAATTATGACTATTATTACATTAGTCCAACTAAGGTAGCACAGCGTAAACGAATGGAGAATAAGATATAAAATCTCAAAATATGATAAATTTCTTCAAAATAGCCGATCGGCTTCATTAGGGGAGGGGACACTATATAAAGTCCCAATTAGTAATAAATTCCTATCTTGCTAAACAAGTAAATTTAAAAAAAAAAATATATTAAATATGCATCCACCAACTAGGAAAAGGAAAATAAAGCATAATAATAAAATAGCTAGGAAATAAATAACTAAACTAAGGATGGTAAACGATCATATATTTCCATAAATGCCATCGCGATCTCGTCTCCATCATCCTCCCTCGATTGAGAAGGATTCGCCCTGGAATCCGGACTGATCTCGTCTCCGTCAGAGTTCTCACCAAGGTATGGAACCAAATGCTTGACGTTAAAAACGTCCGAAGTACGAATATGCAATGGTAAATGAAGATGGTAGGCATTTGGATTAATCTTCTTGACGGTCTCAACCGTTCTAATCTTGCAGGCGGACAACTTATTGTAATCATGCACTGAGAAACGATCCTTACTTAGATGCGCCCACACGAAGTCACCCACCTCAAACTCGACATGGCGACGCCGAGTGTCTGCACATTTCTTGTATTATGCAGTGACCTCCTCTAACCGAGCCCAGGCAGACTCATGAGTCCGCCTGAAGCCAACCATAAAATCCACAGCACGATGGTCGGCCGTCGCGGCCGAAGACAAGGCCAATAAATCCGCTGCACCTCGCGGGCGAACTGCATAGACCACCTCAAACAGAGAAAAAGCCCGTAGCCCGACTCCTAGCCGAGTTATGGGAAAACTCAGCCTGCGGGAGCCGTTGGTCCTAACACTTCAGATTCTCGCCCACCAAACAACGCAATAAATTCTCAAGACAGCGATGACGACCTCCGTTTGGCCGTCAGTCTGAGGGTGATAAGCGCTACTGAAGTCTAACTGCGTGCTGGCGAGACGCCACAAACTACGCCAAAAATGGCTAAGAAAATGCGTGTCGCGGTCGGAAACAAATAGACGACGGTAGGCCATGTAGACGATAAGCCTCTCGAAACAATAAAGTAGCCACAGCGGTCCGCTTGCAAAGAACGAAATGGACCATTTTCGAGAAACGGTCGACGATCACAAAGATAGAATCATTACCTCGCTGAGTACGCGACAAACCCAAGACGAAGTCCATACTAATAGCTGTCCACAAACGTGAGGGAATCAGTAAAGGCTGATAAAGGCCGTCGTTGGATGCCATGGCCTTAGAAACCTGACAGGTTTCGGCCTTTTGGTCATCTTACCTTCTAGGCAGGACTCGCAAGTCTGGTAATGATCTTCTACTGGACCAGATGCCCAGTAGATACCGACCTTTGAATCCTCCTAAGGTTGATGTGCCCAAGCCTAAGGTGCCAAAGATATGTTTGATTCATCGAAGACTCTTTTCTCTTATTAGTTTTAGTCGAGACATTATTCGATTCATTTTGTTGCAGTGTGGGAGACTTTGGTTTCAGAACATATAAATTGCCAACCATTGAACCAGAACAAATCAAATGATTACCATAACGAATAACAACTGAGTTATTAAACGAAACTGAATAACCATTCAAAACGAGTTTAGAAACTGAAATTAAATTCTTACTAAAACTCGGAACAAAAAGACAATTGTTCAAAAACCAAAATACTAGCATCAAATACTAAAGTAACTACTCCCACTGCAACTGCTGCTACTTTCGTAGCATTGCCATGTAGACTGTAATCTCTTCATCCCTAAGTCGTCTGGTTTCCTGGAACCCCTGCAAAGAATTGCAGACATGATCAGTGGCTCCACGAAATGAGACACATCCCGTCGCAAAGAAGGCCAGAAGAAGGAACGACTCAATAGGTCGACGGAATGATCGCGGCTCACGTGCCCGAAACCATGAAAATCTGCCACCACCTTTAAACCTTAAACCACGGAACAAGAACCCATCAAAAAGAACATAATCATCGACAGGGCCAGAAGCGAGCTGAGTAAAAATGTCGCCGAAAAAGAAGTCTGTTGTGTACAGATCCTTCAACGAATCAAACCCCACTGAAAGAGATAGTGCCTCTAGTAACGGACGACTCGAAACACATCATAGAACTTGACGTCATAAGTGATGTAGTACAATCGAGGCCCAGACAACTTCTCGGTAAAGAAAGCAACGAGCCGACCATCTTGGCTAAGTGCGACACCAATCTCGACCTTCGAAGCATCACAAGAAAGCTCAAAACGGGAGAGAGAAATTGGGATGGACCAAAACAGGGGCGGACGTGAGCTTGCTCTTAATAAGATCAAAAGCATCGGCAGCCTGAGGGGTCCAGACAAACGACTTGCTGTGAAGATAGTCCGTGATTAATGCGGTAATAGAACTAAAATGTGAGATGAACTGTCAGTAAAATGATGCTAACCCGTGGAAGCTGCGAGCCTCCATGAAGGATGTCGGGTTCGGCCACTCCTGAATGGCGGCTACCTTGTTGTCATCTA